ACCCCAGTAGCTACAGACCTATTTCGCTATTGTGTCACTTTTTTAAACTATACGATACACTCATACTCGCCAGAATAGAAAAAAATGTCGACAGCACTTCATCCCACAACAAGAATATTATCCTTGCCCGCTACTTCACCTAGCTTAACCATCTCTATTGCCTTCTTTGTTTCTTCTCTTTCTAGGTGTTCTTTCTCTCGCTCTTCGTTTATGCGTCTTTCTTCATCTAGGTTTTCCGTATCCCTCTATGTCAGCTCTTCAAAATATTGTTGCAATCTCTCTAATATTTTTTAATCTTCTGTTTTATATTTTTGTCTTCATCTTTTATAATCGTCGTTCAGTGTTCCTTCTTTTTAAAGCTTCTATAATAACGTCGCTCTAACTTTGACTGGCGTCATGGAAGTTACGCGTATTTCGTGACGCTACTTATACTACAGAAGCGCCTTGGTAAGGCGGTGTAAACAGTTGAAACAGTTTTATGTAATTCTTAAATAATATTTTGTTTATTTAAATCATCTATAGATTAACTGTGTATTTATTATAAGTGTAATAAAAATAATAAATAAATAATAAAATAACCTGTTCAATTTTAAATATGTTATTTCAATAATTGATAGATTCGACCGTTACTTGATAAAAGTTTTATGTAAAAATAAAACACTGAAAACGTTGTTTTCAAAATAAATAAAAAAGAAAGGAATAATACTAGCTTTCAGAAAAAACAACTTGGGCCAATATATTTAAAATAACAAGAGCCAAACCAAAAAGCACTTACACAGTGGTATATACAAACTTAAATGTGGTGACTGCCCAAAAACTTATATCGGCCAAACTGGTAGAAATTTTAATAAACGAATAGCAGAACATAAAAGGGCTTTCAAAAATAGAACAACAGATTCTACGATGAATTTCAAAATCTTCACATTCAAAAAAAGGCCTTAAGCTAACTTTGTTAGAATTTATGGAAATTAACAAATTAAAAAATACAAACTTAATTTTGAATGAACCACTCGAGACAAACAGTTCTCCCCTCCGCAACCTATTTCATTAACGACTAAAAGTGTAAACGCATACCAAAAATAGATCACTTGTGAAAAAAACTCTGCCAAAATAGCTGTAGTGATAAGATTTTATAATACATTTTGTGGAAGTTTTGAAAACAAAGTTTTTAATGTTTTATTGTTTCATGTGATTTAACATTTAAAATAAAGAAGATGGTCTCTTTCATTTTTCTTTTTTTTCTTTATTTTTGCTTGTATCTCGTCTGTTTACAATTCAGTTGTTCTTACGTTTATATTTAGTATTTTTGTCTTGCTGTATATATTCTCTGCTGCTATTATTATAATGTTTTCAGACCTTTTAATTTTTTTCTCTATTTCTGTTCTTTTCTCTATATTTTAACAAGTTATCAAATTTTTCCTGCTATATTTTTCTGTATCTTTGTTCTTTTAGTTTATACCGGTTTATTCTTACATTTAAATTTTTTCTCCTCTTTTCTTCTTTTATTTCGTTTTCAGTCTCATGATTACCAAGTAGAAGTTACTCCTCTCTTTGCCTCTTTTTACCTTTGCTTCTTGTACTCTATTCCTATTATTAGAATATTATTCCAATATTCATCTTTTTTTCCCATTCATTCCTCTAGTCCTTAACATTCTTCTTCTCGTGCCACTCCTAGCGGAGATTGGAAATCATCATGGCCACTGGGACTTTATTAGCAGCGCGCCTGAAAAGTTCAATCGAACTACACCCGAACCATTCACGTAGATTACGAAGCCACGATATTTTTCTTCTTCCCACACTTCTTTTGCCCTTAATTTTGCCCTGCATGATGTTTCTTAAAAGTTCGTACTTTTCACCTCTCACAATGTGCCCCAAGTATTCATTCTTTCTAGTTTTTATCTCATTTAGAATTTCGCATTTTTTGTCTAAAGTTTGGAGTACTTGCGTGTTAGTGACGCGGTCCATCCATGATATTCTGAGAATGCGCCTATAACACCACATCTCGAAAGCTTCGATGTTTTTTATGGTCAACTGTTTTAGTGTCCAAGCCTCAACTCCATATAACAGGGTAGAAAAGACATAACACCGCAGCATTCGTATTCGTAACTTTATATTGATATCACGATTGCAAAAGAGTTTGCGCATTCTATTAAAGACTGGTCTAGCGATTTCTATTCTACATCTAATCTCTTTTGTTTGATCAGTATCGTCTGTGATCCAAGCACCTAGATATTTATAACAGGGCACACGCTCAATCGTTGTATTGTCTATTACAAGATTAGCTCTGATGTTCTTTGATTTCGTGATTACCATAAATTTAGTTTTTTTCAAATTAATTTTCAAGCCGTAACTGTTACAGTATATATTGAGACTTTGAACGAGATGTTGTAGTTCTACTAGCGTTCCCGTTAGGAGAACTGTATCGTCAGCATACCTTATATTGTTGATCGTCTCACCATTTATTATCAGACCAAGATCTTCTTCCTCGAGTGCTTGTTCACAGATAGCTTCACTATACAGATTAAATAACAGTGGCGATAAGATACATCTCTGCCGGACTCCTCGACGGATTTGAATTTCTTCTGTTAGTCTGCCCTCAACCTTGACATTTGCTGTTTGATTCCAATATAGATTGCATATAATTCGAATATCTCGGCTGTCTATATTTTTCTTTATTAGAACTTGTCTTAGTGGTTCATGTTGTACTTTGTCAAAGGCCTTTTCGAAATCAATAAAGCAGGCGTAAATTTCTTGGTTTATGTCTAAGCATCTCTGTGAGAAAACGTTCATTGCAAACAGAGCCTCCCTTGTACCCAGCCCTTTTCTGAATCCCATCTGAGTGTTACTGATGTCTACGTCTAATTTCCTATAGTTCCTATTATGGATTATTTTTAAGAACAGTTTTTGAGCATGACTCATCAAAGCTATCGTACGATATTCGTTGTATTCCTTTGTATTTGCCTTTTTTGGCAGTAGTATAAAGGTCGAACGGAGCCATTCCCTAGGTATTATTCCAGTTCTATATATTGTGTTAAATAGATCTAGGAGTATTTTAATAGATTCATCGTCTATAAGTTTGAGCAGTTCTACGGGAATTTCATCAGGACCGGGGGCCTTACCACTTTTTGCTTGTTTGATTGCATATTCTATTTCTTCTCTGATTATATCAGGCCCTGTATCATCTGTATATTCGTTTGAAATTTCTTGTCTATCTTTGTTATCAAACAGTTGTGATATGTATTTTGTCCATCGGTTCATTTTTTGTTGTAAATCTGTTATAATTATACCATCTGTATCTTTGATCTGTCCTGTCTGTGTTGTTCTTCTCCTTCCTGTCATTTCTTTAATCTTTTTGTGTACATTAAAAAAATCATATTTTCGCTCCAATTGTTCCAACTCATGGCATTGCTCACTTAGCCATCTTTCTCTAGCTTCTCTTATTTTTTTTTTATCAGTTTATCTGTTTCTTTGTATCTTATCGGATTATTTGTTTTGTGTACCCTTCTTTCACGAATCAACTGTTGTATTTCCTCATTCATCCATTCTTTATGTTTCCTTTCTTTCGGTGTTAAATTTTCTCTACCTGCCAACATTACGGCTTGTTTAATATTCTCCCATTTTTGGTCTATGTTATCAGTATTTCTATTCAGTTTCTCTATATTTTGTAAATTTTCTTTGATGTTCTCTATTGTTTTCTCTTTTATATGTTGTTCATTCAGTCTTCTCACGTCAATTTGTTTCTGTATGTGTTTTTTAATGATCTTTAGTTTTATTCTTAATGTGACTACTACAGGATTGTGATCCGAGCCTATATCTGCTCCTGGGTAGGTTTTAGCTGAGAGTATAGAGTTGCGGAATCTTTGACTAACAAGGACAAAGTCAATTTGGTTTCTGACTACTCTACCTTTGGTGTCACTCGGAGATTTCCATGTGTACAGTCGTCTGTTAGGTAACTTAAAAATAGTGTTAGCAACTACTAACTCCTCCGCTTGACAAAATTGTACCATACGGTCTCCTCGTTCGTTTCGTTCTCCTAATCCATAGTGACCCACATAACCGTCCATACATCCATGTCCAATTTTGGCATTAAAATCGCCAAAATTAAGTCTTTAACATATAAGTCCTTTAAAAAGTCCTTAACATATAAGTCGCCAATTATAATTATATCTTTTCTGAATTATCAATATTTAATTGTAGCTCTTCAAAAAATTTGTCTTTCTCTCTTTGTCTTGTGTCTTCTTTTTCGCCGTAACTGATATTAATTACAATGTTTTATCTTTCTTTAATTTTAATTTTACTTTCGTTGATATTATTTTTATTCTACAATACCTTTTAAATTATTTTTTCTTTTATCTTTGTTTTAGTTATTCCTGGTATTTTCTATGTTTTGGCCACTAAATTCATCTTTATTTCCTTTATCTAAAAGATTTATGTTTATAAAATATTTTAAAAACCAGTACTTATATTAAAGCCAGTGTATAGATATATTTTTTAATAAAACATAAAAATTACTATAAATCTGGTGTACATAAAAATCATGGAAAGAAAATTGTCCCATTAGCCCCCAGTTTCTCCTATATTTGCTTTTGCAGCATACACTCATTATGTTTATGATATTGTATGAATGTTATGTCCTATTTTATGCATATGTTGTTATGTTTCAGTTGATAGCATTTTTTAACGAGATACATAAGTTTGACCAAACAATACTAAAGCCGAAGTTCTACTTTAGGGATGCCATTAGATTGACTCTTACCATCGCCTTTACATTTACTTTTATAGCCATCTATGTCGTGGTATGTGATTTGATTTCCTTTTTGCCTGCTAGTTACAACCTTTGGGCATGGAAGGGAATATTCACATACAATGCACCTATTATAGCAAATAATATGGTTTTAATACAGATAGTGGGCGGTATTTACATTTTGTATAAAAGGTTTTTATGGATCAACAAGGAAATAAAAAGGTTAAAGAGAAAATGGAACAGTAGATCAGTTAGAATGAATAAATTCATTGAATGTGTAACAGATAGTGTGTAAGTACTAATTATATTGCCACTGTATTTTTAAATAATCTTCATCACTAACATTGAAGGTTTATGATCATTATGAGCCACAACTGGTATTTTTTTTTAGATAGTAGTAGTAGTAGTAGGCGAAGATATTCGCCTACTGCTCCTTATGCTTGCTTTTAATTCAGGTATTAAAAAATATCGATATCGCCTCCTCTTTCATTTAACATATTCTTCTTAACGTGCCCTATCAAGTCGCCTTGACGTTGGCGATTCACATGGCGAAACTGTCTCTGTCTCGAGCTATTCTAAAGAGTTGCTCAGCTTTCCTTATTCCTATCTACTCCCTGATATTCTTCAACCAAGAAACCTGCTTTCTACCAATTCCTCTGTATCCTTCGATTTTACACATCATAATAAGTTGAAGAATATTATATCGGTTTCCCCTTACTACGTGTCCAAAATAGGCCATCTTTCTACATTTGATGTTATCAAGCAGCTCGCGAGCAGCATTTGATCTCTCAAGGACTGACACATTTGTCAGCATAGCCGTCCATGGAATTTTTAGTATAAGTCTGTGCAACCACATTTCAAAGGCCTCCAGACGATTAATAAGGTGGATATTTTTAAATGTCCGTGCTTGGATACCGTATAAGAGGACTGACCAAATGTAGCATTTAACCATGCGCTTTTGAAGTTGAAGTTGCAAGTTATCATTACAGAAGAATGACCTCATTTTTAAAAATTTCGTGCGGGCTATCTCGATTCTACATTTTATTTCTTGATCTGGATTTAGATGTTCAGTAATATGGCAACCAAGATAATTAAAACTGGACACTCTTTGAATTATATGACCATCAACATATAATCGTGCATCTTGATGTGCTAAACGGCTAAACACCATGTGTTTTGTTTTTGAACAGTTTATGCTTAGGCCAAACTCTCTTCTCACTTTATCAATGGTATTTATTAGGCATTGTAGTCCATTCTTGTCATCACTTAAAATAACTGTATCGTCTGCATATCTGATTGTATTTATCAGAATTCCATTAAGTTTCACGCCCCATTCCAAATTCTGAAGCGCTTCTTTAAATATTCTATCGGAATATAAAACAGTGGGGATAGTATACAACCCTGTCTCTTTGTGTTTTACATATTTCTGTTGATTTTTCGTTTATGCAAGCTGTCGCTGTTTGACGCCAGTATAACTTTTCTATGAATCGTATGTCTTGACTATCAACTCTCGACATTTTTGCAGTAATACATTTAGTGCAAAGAGGGCGTCCCGAGTTCCCAGTCCATTTCTGAAGCCAAATTGTGTTTCATCCTGGTCTTCTTCACATTTATCTTTGATTCTACTGTGGATGATGCGTAGAAATATTTTCAAAGTGTGGCTCATAAGGCTTATCATTGTATAATCGCTACAGTTTTTTGGACGTTGTTTTTTTTGGTATTGTTATGAATTTGGACTTTAGCCAATCTTCAGAGATATCACCAGTCGAATAAACAACATTGAAAAGCTTTACCAGTATTCCAATGTTCTTCTCATTTATAAGCTTCAATATCTTTGTCGGTATAATAATCAGGGTCAACGGCTTTCTTGTTCTTTGCTAACTTTATAGCATGCAGTATTTGTGATTTTAGTATTTCTGGTCCTTCACCTTCAACTAAAGTATCCAGTTCTTCGGGTCTATCATCATTATACAGTTCACTTATATAATTACACTAGGTTGTTCGAATTTCATGTTCGTCTATTATCATTTTTCCCGACGAATCGGTTATAGCATGTAGAGTTTTCTTATGATAAAGACCAGCTACTTCTCTAAGTTTTTTAAACATATTAAACGTATCATGTTTTTCATTCAACTTTGCTATTTCCTTGCATTTATCCTCCATCCGCTTTTCTTTAGCCACCTTTATTTTTTGTTTAATTAGTATCTGTTTTTTTCTTATATTCTGTCTTGTTACCTTTTAGTTTTCTTCTCTGCTGCATTAATTCCAGGATTTTATCAGTCATCCATTGTTGTTTTTTGTGCCTGTGTAACGTTGTTGAATATTTTTCTATTACTTTCAAGGTATGATCTTTAAATGTGTTCCATATTTCTGTGTTGTGTTCATTTATTGGTTTCTTTAGCTCATTGTTTAAGTCATTTAAGTTTAATTAATTACTATTAAACTGGGAATAAGCCACAATTAAAGATAAAAATACGTTTATTGACGTTTATTGATACATCATTTATGTTTTTTAAATAACGTAACATATGAAATCAGAATTTTGATGTTTGTTGAAGGTAAACTAAATTCACGAACAAATATTTACAATGTCGGGATAGTATTATGAGGTTTTTTTTCCTGGTTTTTCCCTCATAATTTACTATGGAATCACTAACAGGAGAATTTTACTGTCATCATGTCATGTGTTTGTCTTTTTAAAGACGAATTACATGCTATGATTTTTTTTTCTGACGGATATTCTCACGTTAAAGTTGATTTCATGTAATCGAATGAACTATCTTATAAGTAAAGTCGTCCCAGGAGCGCAACTCAACAATATTGGCAATATCATTTTAAAGTCGTCTACTTTAAAATGCGTAATGTATGTCTGAATTGTCAATATAAATGAGTCAGATAAAATTAAATTATTAGAAGAATTTTTCACTATGTAACAAAAAACAAGATTTGTTTAATTTACTGTTAGTATTTTGAGAACGATTTCCGAAGTGGAAATTGAAACGTCAATAAACGTATTTTTATCTTTAATTGTGGCTTATTCCCAGCTTAATAGTAATTAATTTACAATGCCACAAGAAAATAGCTTCAGAACAACATTTAAGTTTAAGTCTAATCATTAAGTTTAAGTCAGGGTTATGGTCTGAACTGATATCTGCACCAGGATATGTCGTTACTCTGGTGACGCCATTCTTAAATCTCTTGTTTACCAGAATATAGTCTATTTGCTTCCTAATTATATGTCGTAAATTATCTCCTGGTCCCCTCAATGTGTAGAACCTTCTTTTGTGTAATTTAAACCATGTATTTGCGATTATCATGTCATGTTCTTGACAGAACTGGTATAATCTATCGCCTCTTTCATTGCTCTCCCCTGGCCCATATTCTGTGTCTGTGTCTGTTTTAATTGGTTATAGAATGATTGGACCTCATTGTCGTATTTCTTTTCTGCAGTAGGGGCATATATCTGGATAACATTGATATTAAATGGTTTGCTATTTAATTGGAGTATTGCTAGTCTGTCGTTCACTGGTATAAAATTTTTCACATATTTCTTAAATTTAGACATTATAAATATTCCAACTCCATTCCCATAATGTGTGTCATCTACACTTCCAGAATAGTATAGTGTGCCTTCATCTTGTTTACATATTCCCGTTCCAGGCCACCGGCACTTATGCCCATTATATCAATTTTTAAACGTTTAACCTCTTGAAGTTACTGAGCTAACCTGCTGCATAGAGGCTTTTAACGTTCCAGGGACCTAATCTGATTGTAGTGCTAGAAATTTTTAAAGTTATCGTACTTCTAAAATTATAGGGATCTCGTGTGATGACGACCGGGGAGGCCCTACAGTCTGATGCGCGCCCTTCCCTGCCGGATCTTGGTTTCCGTGATCCATGATCAGTAATACTTCCGCTACGATTGTATTGAGCCATGTTAATTTTACTAGGGATCATAATGGGGTGGTTTCCCGTTGCCTTTTCCATCGCAGTATCACAGCCGCTAAACTCATAATGTGAGTGACGCCTGTGAATATCTGGAATTAAGCATACATGATCTTTACTTCCCACAGCTTTAATCCAGTAATGACATTATCTGCAGAAAGTTTCCCTATCAGCCATATGGGACGTGTCGTGTCGAGGGTAAGGACATTCCCCGCCCAGTCTGTCTTCCGTGAAGTACAGAAAAGCCCCTGCTCAGTTCAGAGCTCCTTCTTCACGAAATCTGAGACCAGACACAGATTTAACATATTACAGGCACCAATCTGCCACCAATGCCGCCATGTTTGTTTTGTTTCTGTCCATATTTGCTATCCCCTTTTCTTTCCAATGATGTACCAAACGTCACAATTCGACCTAAATCAAATCCTTAAATACTAGAATAACGAAAAAGAATTTTCTGACTATACCCTTTATATTAAGATTTTTCTACGCACCTGTTTATCTACATCAGCTGTCACTTGGCAAATGGTTCTGGTCTAAATACTTTGTAAATTATTGTGAATTTAAAAATAACTAATTACTACTGACTAGTAGTTTTAGGACTAGCGAATAAAAGTTAAACTATGACAGTCTGTAATGCAAAATCTTTCTACGTAATGGCGGCAGCCATACTATAATGCGGAGTTTAGCTAAGGTTCATGCTTGGCCTGTAATGCACATGTAACGCTTACCCACAGAGACGTCAGAATAGTTCAAATGCCCCGTCCTGTGGCATCGAAGCGGTCCATACTCTACTGTTATTTCTTATATTTAACTGGTCAGGCAGTTATACTTTACAAAATATTTGCCTGTGTATTTTGAGTGACTCTATTTATCTCTTATTACTGTCTAATAACATGCAGGAGAATGTCATACTTCCAAGGCTGTTATTTTAATACTACTTGTTCGTTTTAGGATCTATCTTCTTGTTATCAAGTGCCATATCCAGTCCGGATGTTAGCGATCATCATGGCTGTTATAGTTTTGTTAACCACACTACGAAACAGTTCAACGAAGATCATTCAAAATCATTGTCGCATGTTTTTCACACAAGAGATACTACATTCTAGTCAAAATATCTTGCTCTGCATGACGAGATAAAAAATTCGATATCTTTCTCCGTTGCGCATTACATGGCCAAGATAAGATTTATAGATAAGATAAGATTTTCGTTGCATTAGTCGTCTTTATTTTAATCCATCCTTTGTATTTCGAGGCTTTTGGTCAAAATTTTTAGCATTTATTTCTTTTGGCAAGGGATGAGTTGCGAGCCCATGGCTTCAACCCTTCTTCTTTACCCTGGCTTGGGGACGACACAGGCATTTACTAAGTTACTCAATCTATCCAGTACTTACCGGAAGCAGAGTTTCGAGTGAAACATACAGAACTATTTCACTGCTTGCAATCAAACAATCGTATTCTAGCAAATATTAATAGAACGAAAAGTAATAAAGGGATACCTTCTGTCACTGTTTTGGTTAATCGGATGGCGGTCGGGAATAGGATTACATTAAATGGAAATTGACTTAATTTTAAATAATTTTTAACATTACGAAAACTTATATAATAATACGATATTTTTTAGGATTGACGAAGGCACATTAACGAATCAACTAGAAGGCATTCGAACGAAATACCAGAATATAAATACCCTAACGGAAACACTTAACGAAATTTATTCTACAAGAATACTATTCCTCCTATTAAGTATCGAATTAAGCCTAATAACAAACACTTTATTTTTTGCCAGACAAAAGGATACAGCGTATCAGCGTAAACAGCATCCTCTTTACTACCTAAAAAGTGGAAGTATGTTGTTGATGAACGTTGCCTATTTAACGACTATGTGTGTGATTAGTTCTTTGATGTCAAAGGAGGTAAATGTTTTTGAAATTTGCGCAATGATGAAAAATTTGGAGCAAATTATCTATTCTCTCTTTAAAAAACATTGTGTTGGCTTTGTTTGAGTAAAAACTGTAAATGTATGTATGGTTTGTACATTTGTTTGCAATTTAACAGTTTTAAATGCTGTATTATTTTTATTTTAGTCACCACAAAAGACTTTTTTAGCATTTGATATAAACTTGAGCCCGCTATTAAAAAAAGCTCTACGAGGAAAACAGATAATGATAATTTATTAAATTGTTTTACAAGTTTTTAGATTTGCTTTAATATTTTAATTAAACGTCATTTTATTTTGCAATTCAAAGCATCCATAACATTTTATAAATGTGCTGGTTAAGACAAATCCACTGCGCAACAAAAAATATAATGTTTTATTATAAATGTTTTATAACTGATTCTTAAGTACTTCGTACACTTTTTTTATCGTCTATGTTTTTCTCATGACAGTCAAATATAAATTACACATTTCTTGCTTATTTAAATATGTGATTACTACAAACCCTTAAACGCCCACCAATATATAGGTTCCATGTATCTCAAGGGTGAGTAAAAAATATTCACCTCGAAAATTGCTAATATATTTAATGAAAGTTGTTACAAATGTTAGAAATGTATTAAACTTAAACGACATACAAACCTTAGAAACTTCTTTCTTCTTCTTCAACTTCCGCTTCTATTGGAGATTGGAAATTAATCTGGCAATTATAATTTTGTTAGTTACGCGCCTGAATAGTTCAATTGAACTGCATCCAAACCATTCACGGAGATAGCGTAGCCACGAGATTTTACATCTTCCTACGCTTACGAACTATTAACCTCTACCTCTACGTTAGAAACTAACGAACTATTAAATTGCACTTCGCACACATTATGGTTGTCTTTAACAGTTTTGTTACACCTTTAATTTTACCAATAGCTTCTTTAACACAAACGGAACACCGAGTTTTCGTACTGTGAGGTCTATCGTCAAATTTAGCTTCATTTAGGCCTTTAAGTTTTTGTTCCAAGATACCCTCCATTGCAACGACAATGTGGAAATGCAACCCCTTCAGATTTTCAGTCCTTCACTGGACAAGAGTTGTTATCAGTTCGATGCCTAGCTCCTGGAGGAAAAGGACCCTTTTATTACGCTTTTTATATTCGACTGTAGATGATAAGCGTAAATAAGGTAAATGCATTCAAGAAAGCAAGGTTTAAATATGTTAAGAATTTTGACAATGGCCTTATTTTTTACCATCTGGCGCACCTCTCTTAGTGTCCCGCCGTACTCATTTAGCATCCTCGGACACCATTTTCCTTGATATTAGTTTTTCATACTTCAAATATCTTAATGGAAATATTCCTAATGTTTATCACTAATATCTCTCAGATTGTGTAAAAAAACATCCTAGTGGAAATCAAGGAAATGTATTTTAAGAGACATGTTGCAGCCCAAATCACTGTAGGGCTTAGGATAATTTTTTTATTTGCCAAGTATCCTAACATTATTTGTAAAGTCGATTTGCTGTTTGGTGTCTGGTGAAAACGGCATGTTGTGCAAAGGCACAACAAGCTTTAGAAACCCTTACGTCAGTTTTGTAAAAAGCTGGTAAACCATGAAGGGAACGGCTGATCTAGACAATATAGCAGCAGTTGCGCTCCGCATAGGATATGTGATAGACAGCATTAGTGTATTCTAAAGGGGCCAATGAAGTTTTGGTTTTCTAAAACAACATTTTTAGAGTTCTGGTGTTTTTTAAAGTAATTTTAACTTAAAAGCTTTTAAAAAGTTTGGTAAGCTTATTCCTGATTTGCAGATAATACGGAAGAGAAGCATATTTTATGCTTGTTCTGAAATTAACGAGGAGTTGTTGATCTGTATGTTATTTGAAATCGACTCTAATTTATTGTACATATAATGACAATAATAGAATGACCATAGCTTTTGGAAGTTCAACTGTATGTTATTTAAAATTGACGCTAATTTTACACCATTGGGTATGTCTGGAATAGAATGACCATAGTTTTGAGAAAAATGATATTTGTTGATGACAGCAATGAAATAAGAATTATCAATAAATATGAACTCTGAGTCTAAGAGACTAAGTGCTAAGGGTAATTTAAAAAATGTTTGCTATCCATTTATTTATTGTACTAGGTAGTGTCCAATGTATTCTGTGTGCGAATAATTCGCATATCTGAAAATAAGATGCTATTAATATAAACACAAGTGCAAATAAAGTTAGCTAATGAAATAACAAAAACAATCACTGCAACAAAAGGCCTCAAACAGGGATCTGGTCTCTCACCTACACTTTTTTACACACACACACACACACACATACATATATATATATATTATATATATATATATATATTATATATATATTCTATATATATACATATATATATATATATATATATATATATTATATATATATATATATATATATATATATGGCTTTGAAAATATGGTATAGAAAATGCGGAACAATGGGCATACCAGTACAAGAGAATATATTACATTCACTACTTTTCGCAGATGATTAAATCATTTTTGCACAAGACAGGGAGGATATGGAATATATGATAAGGAAATTAAAGGAAGAATATGAACTTTAAGGACCCAAGATAAATATATGCAAGACCGAATACTTATGTATTATAAAAAAAAGAAAAGACCTGCTACAAGATGGAAAACAAACGTCGGAAATGCTATGATAGATAGAGACCTTAGAGAAGGTGACTGGGAGAATAGAGTGCTGTGGAGGACGAAAACGGCAAACTCATAATGGGAAAAGCCGAAGAAGAAGAAGAATTTATATGTAAATTGCATAAAAATGGTTAAATACTGATAAGGTGCCCAAAAAGTTATCAGGGGCTTGGTAAAATAATATCATCGACATCACATTTAATAAAGAAAACTTGGATATCTAACTTCTTGATACAAATAGGAGAAAGCTAAGATCCCTTAAGTGTTTCAAAAATGTGACGATAAAATTGGTCTTTAAATATGAAATAATTAATGTCAAAGGTCAATTTTAATAACTGAGCGAATATTTCACACGGTACTAGGCTGTAACCTAGGATTTGGTTCCAATAATTTTGGAGTGTCTTTCGAGACATAGTCTCTTTTCTTCTTCTTCTGGTAGCACTACAACCAAGGGTGGGTCTTGGCTGACTGCACAACCTGCTTCCATCTCGAACGGTCGTCTATGATGTTTAAGTCAGTGAGTAGCCCCATTGTTCTTAAATCTGACCATATATTATCTTTCCATCGCATTCGTGGACGTCCTAAGGGCCTTCTGCCTGTTGGGACTTCTTCCCAGATTAACTTGGTAAGGCGGTTATTAGGGAGCCTATGAACATGGCCAGCCCATCTTAGACGTTGGGATTTAATCTCTTGGACTACGTCGCTAGCACTATACATTTGTTTGACCACGGCATTTGTTCTCATTCGGTATTGGTTAGTATTCGGATCGTGATAGGGACCGAAGATCTTTCTGAGGATTTTTCTCAGATAGTTCTCTACATAGTCTCTTGGTAACTAATAATCATTCATGAATTCACATTCTGTTGTATTAATTGTTTTATAATTTTTATATTTTTTTTATCTTCTAGGCTCAAAGGACAGTTCATATTTTACATACTTTAAAGAACAGATCGGAAGATTTAAATGAAACCGTAAGTATTTATTTAAAATATCATTGTTATTGTAACTAAAAACTTTGTTCTGGTTAAGTATCTTTGCAAATCATATATTTAAGCATACCCGATCTTCCTATGTGCGTAACACTAAGTCGCAAGCCCATATATCATGCCGAAATGCTCCTACATAGGTCGATCTGATTCATCTGTATATTCTAATATAAGCCAAGCAAATTAAGCCAAAATGACTACCATTACCGATCGGCTAAGTCAGATAAGCAAAGAATTCAGAATTCAGATCAACAGCGGTAAAACAAAAATAATGATCCTAGCCAGAGCAAATAAGCACATACATTGTGACGTGATACAAGTGACGAATCTGAAAGTAGTAGACAGATTGGTATACTTTTACTTAAAATATTGAAAGACCGAACAATAACAAGCAATCCGAAGCTTAGGTTGGCCAATGCCCTTATTTTTATTATTGCTACATATGCAACTGAAACATAGACTCTCAAGTAAAGTAAAGTAAAGTAAAGGGAGTAAAATTTCACTATTTTCAACAAATTTTGCCGGCTTCTAGTCACTACATACTTGCGTTCCCCTTTTCAACCTAAAATCTTTAATTCCCCTCGACTTCGATCTAATACTGGCCGGGGCTACCTTTTCTCTTTCCCTTATTCAGTCGAAGGGAATTGGAATTTTTGTTAAACATATCGCAAAACAACCTTGAATGAAACAGCTTTTTAAAATCGCAGAAATACACATCTTATATTATATGGATTATTTAACTTTATAAACCCATTCTTTTTTTGGGGACTTTAATATAAACAAAGACACCAAAATTCATCAGGAGTGTACTACAAAATTTTTATACTTTCATTTTAAAGGAAATTATTATGCTACAAATTGGCCTCCAAAATCTTGCAATATTAACACTGTTGAACTATTTTATGTGGGGATATGTTAAGGTACTAGTCTACTCCGATAAACACGAATCGATTGATTACTTGGAGGACAACAGTCGTTGCATTATTGCTGATATACGGCGAGAAATATTGAGAAAGGTGATCCAAAATTGGACTTCTAGATTAGACTACATCAGAGGCTGTCATGACGGTCATATGCTATAAATATTATTTAAATAATTTCAGAAGATTATCTTTTAATTTAGTTTTCTACACATGTAGTCCATGTCTTCCTCATTATCCAGTACGACTACCTGATCATCTGCAAAAAATAAAGTTGTTAGACATTTACCATCGCCTATGTTTATTCCCTTTCCGGATACTTGTTTTCTCCACTGCTCTAGCGATGATTGAATATATATTTTAAATAAGGTCGGAGATAGACAACATTCTTGTTTAAGCCCCTTTGTTGTTGGAAATGATTCAGATATAAAGTTTCCTTCTTTAACGACACTTCTTGCATTCTTGTATATATTTGAGATAGTATCCACATACTCTCTACTGAGACCTATTTTCGTCAATGTTTGACAGTTTTTTCAAAGGCACCGTATCGTATGCCTTTTCTAAATCTACAAACAATAAGTGGGTAGATAGATTTCTTGCCTTGCGTTTTTAGATTACCTGCTGCAGAACGAATATACCATCAGTGCACGATGTTCCTGCACGGAATCCATTTTGTTCTTCTGTCTTCGTATTCTGATTCTATTCTTTTTTTTATTATTCGACCGTACAACCTCCCCACTGAGCTGATAATAGCTATTCCCCTATAATTAGAGCATTTGCGTTTATCCCCTTTCTTGAATATTGAGCCAATGTATCCAATATTTTATTCATCAGGGATAATTTGTCCTTTTAAGCATTTGTTAAATAGTTGAACCAATATCTCATGTAATGTTTTTGGTCCATACTGTAATGTAAGCGTAGCAAGTGAGTGAGAAGTTGGAATAAAGGGATAATGGAACAATAAGTAGCATAGAAAAGATAATAATTATTCGAGATAATTATTATATATTCCAAATTAAATAAGGGATAATTAATACAGTTAACTTATACATTTAAATTATACAAAGTATAACAATTGACCTAGTTATGGCATTGTTTGATAATTGTGTAAACGTATAAAAAGCACGAAACTATTAACAACAACAGCCGTGACCCAAATAGGCACATAACGCCAAAACTGCAACTCAGCGAACCTACGACCTTGGTACTAGAACCGGCGTTGAAAGTACGACCACAATAAAACAAGAAAAAACGACGGACGCCAGACAGTCGGTAGTCAGTAGTCAGTCAATCAGTAGTGATAACGGGGGCACCGTGACTGCCCGTTAAGGCAGTATTGCCAGGCGCCGTGCCGGGTCGACGCGGTAGCGTCGGGTACAAGGCAGTTAGTAATGATCAGTCAGTAATAGCGGGCCACCGTGACTGGGACGCGACAGCGTCCCGTACGCGATCAGTACGGACAGTCGGTGATTTTCCGGGGGCCGGGTATCTTCTGTCAGAATTCGCGTGTAGTCCGGTTATTGTGGCAGCTCGAAAGTTCGCAACCCTCAACTGACCGAGTTCCAGAAGACTGAACGTGTCGTGGTTGAAGCCCTAATATACACATAAGGTAACAGATTTCTTTATACTAACCTGTGTAATTATATTTGTACCTCTGTCAACTTTTCACTATCTTGCTACATCGTCTCCCGACGCGCAGAATAACGTGTTAACGATTGTATTAGGAACTTCAGGGTAGATTCAATATATTGTTGACTCTAATATGGTTTTTTTTTAATGTTCCTTCGTCCGACTCACTAGAGACTAGGAGAACACGAGAATTCTGCGTATACATATCTCCGGCTTCAAAAGTAAGCCCATAAACTCTACTCTTTACAGGACCTGAGACCGAGGAGTTCTTACCCCTATCCCGAAATCCCTTATCTTCTCGTAAATCCACGAAGACGAGCCAGCCCTCCAGACCAGTGTGACCAGTATTCCTTGCAGCCGCTCGCAGGGTTAGCATCCCTTGAGGATCTATTGTATTTTACATTTGGTGACAGTTTTTACAGGACCCTATACATAGAAGTTCCTTACCCCCTAATCCTTAATCCCTCTCCACTTATCGTAAATCTGTAGTAGATTATTACATTGGTGACAGCGGTCCCGGTTTGGGGGAATTTCGGTAAATAGGGATAATTAAGTCACTTCTTCAGTATCCTTGTAAACTTTTGCAAGTTTTGTAGCTATAAGAAGCCTTCATCGTTTCATTTCGCCAGTGACATTCCAATTTTTTTCTTCTCTTTCCTAAGACGACAACAGATTAAAGAAACAGTGAGGTATCCAGTAAATATTGTGTGGAGTGCAGGACTCCCTCTTCTGGAAGAAAATCCTTTTTCTCTCTTTGTTATATAAACTTGTTAGTGGTTTTACACAAATTATTCGTATATAGTAGATTTTTTTTTTTTTTTGTCTTGTATCACTGGAAAATAACCTCATATCAATTCCTTCCCGAGACTTAGAATCCTAAATTAAGATAGGTGAATTGCTTTTATGATATATGTGAAGAGATGACAAGTACAAATTTTTTTCAAAAATACATACTAACACATTATATGATGTTCTCTATATAATTGTTTTTTAATTACCATAATATTGCACTAAAAATATAAACTATACTGTCTAACAGAACATATGATACAATATGGCATAACAGAGATTAGTAATTATCAGTCGATTATATGAATTGGATATAATTATTCGAAGAAATAATAAATATATTGTTTACTAACTAGTTGAATATAAAGAATTTAAGTTGGTAGGTCAAGATCAGGTTCATTTGAGTGTACGAGTTTATTGCTTTCAAAAAGCGCAAAATATAAATTCTTTAAATATTGTTTTACTAACTAACGGTTTACATAAATATTATCAAATTCTTTTGTTTAATGTATCAAGTGAAAGTGAAATATGATACTATTTGCTCGACGTGTGTTTGAAAAATATTAAACGCGCTTGGTCAAGTAATATACACTGAAAAATTAGATATGACTTTGCTAAAGTAAATTGGGATATTTGGATTTATAAATAACGTTCAATTCGAAAAAAGGAAAAGAATTTAATAGAGTTTAATTTTTCAAAAAAAAAAATTAATACTAACACCTTATTTGATATTTAACTATTGATTGATTGATCGATTATTATTTGATTTGATTATTTAATATTTTATACAGATTTGTTTTTAATTTCGGCAGCGGACATTTCTAAGTTCTTTTATTTTATCAAAAATTTAATTCTTTATACAATTGTTGGTTAACTTCATAAATTGGCACATCATACTGAGATGGACATATAAAAGAGGGAAAAGAATTTAATGGAGCTTTGGAAGATAATTGACCGTGGTGTCAGAAAATCTTTTTTACTATTTTGGAATGATTTCCACGAACATATAAGTTCGGGAATGGATGCATAGCAAGGAAAATGCATAGAAGCACGTAAAGTGGTTCTTTGGGCTGTGGCCCATATTTAAAGAAAATTTGAGTCGAATCGTTGTCAACGTCCTATAGTGATCTTGACAAACGTAACTTGCGAAACACTAGGAGGCTTGCTACAGTTTATGTACCAGGGAAAAGTGCAAATTGGACAGGAAGACCTAAGGGCCTTCACTGAAGCGGCCGAATCGTTGCAAAGGCAAGGACTCGCTGGAGACGGAAAAAAGTATAATAGTTACTATCGTTTAAAGTAACTTTGCTACAGTTATGTACCAGGGAAAAGTGCAAATTGGACAGGAAGACCTAAGGGCCTTCACTGAAGCACTGAATCGTTGCCAAGGTAAGGACTCGCTGGAGACGGAAAATTCATAGTTAGTTACTATCGTTTAAAGTAACAATATAGAGACTTTGGACGAAGAAGGTACTCTGAACGTAGAAGAGTTTAAGCCAGTTTCTTTGCTTGAGACAAAGAAGCAGAACCATAAATAAGAAAGAATAATCAGAGGACACAGGTGGGATGCCACAGAAATAGAGGCATATCTCACACAGCATGCGAAGGTGAATACAGAGCCAGAAGTATATTTTTTTACAGGAATGT